TAATATAATATTTATATAATATAAGTAAATAATATTTTATAAAAATAAAATATAATTTACTTAAATATTATTTGATTAATAAATTATTTTTATTAAATTTTTATTATAATATTTATCTAATTTTTCTATAATTTATTTTATTCTTCTTATAATATACTTTATTAATTAAATATTTATTTAATTTAATTTTTAATTATTTAATTAAGAATAATAATAATTATTTTAGATAATTTTTATTATTAAAAAATATAATATATTAAGAATTATTATATATCAAACTTAAAATTATATATTAACTAATTAAAATAATTAAAAAAATAAATGATAATAGTTAATTAAATAAATTTTTAATTATATTATTTTTTTGTTAATTATATAAATATATAATTAGTAATTAGTAATTAATTATATAAAATTTATAAAATATATAACTAATAAAAAATACTCTATTCTTAAAAGTTTTTGCAATCTCAAAATTAATTTTTCAAGAGAATATTACTTATTAACTTATCTATTTTTTCTTACTAATTCTTAAATATCATTTTAATTTGCCAAAAATTGCAACTAATGAACTTAAATATTTTTCAGTTCAGAACTGATCATCAAAGTTAATTCATTTCTTGAAAAGAAATTCTTTTAATATTTCAATCTTGACAAATTTAATCTTTAAAAGCATAAGATAAAAGAAGGTATCTTATTAAAATTGGAAGCAATTAATTTATATAAATTAAAATTGGCATCTCTAATTATAAAGAACTTGAAAATATTGTTAAATAATTATCAGATTATTATTCTACATTCAAGTAAGAGACATTTTTTGTTAGATACAAGCTTTTCTTCTATTTTGTTTTTTTTTTGAATTCTCACATTACATCTTTTCAATTTTAAGACAACATCGGAACAGATCGGAAATATATAACCCGAGAATTTTCGTCATGGCTAGGGTATTTGACTGATCAGACGCTAATGGTAGTGATGGGATTTTGATAGGAGCAAAGCATAGTAAGATAAAACAATTTCATTTTGAACAGAGAATATTCTATTTCTTATGTAAAGTTACAGGATTTTTTTTACAGTATGCTTAACTTTGTCCATGTTTATTGACAAATTCTAAGCAAAAAATGTTGATTTGAAAATCAAAAGTAAAAAGAAAGGTTATATTAACAATCAAAATCGCGTAATTTCGACAAATCAACTCTAGAACTCTAGATAATTTACTGAATGACTGTAATATTATTTCATTAGTTTTAATTAATTTCATTATTTTTCTTTAGTGATAATGAGGATATGCCAAAGAAGACAAACGAAAAACGGGAATTTCCGACGGCAAAACAACCTTTAACATCAAAATAGAATTTCCCGGAGTCGTTCGCTTGACATTATAATTTTTTCCACGTGTTGTATAAAAATACTATGCTGAAATTCAGGCAACTTCGCAAAGAACAAAAGTAGAATTTTATCATTTCAGAAATTTCAGAAGTTATGTATATTAACTGGGACAGGGGTGTGAATAATTCCATGAGATTAAATTAATTGATGTGTGCATATAAAAACATATGAAAATTTGCAGTAGAAAGTGATTTCGCATGGTCGAAAGTAATAATTAATATTAATAAATTTGTTGGTTCTGGCTATGAATAAAATCAGTGCATAAATCAACACATAAAATAAATCAGCACATAAATACATAAAATTAGCGCAAATATGAATACATGAAAATAACGCGCCGATCAAAAAATGGATTACTATATAAAAGACAGGCATTCGTATTCTTTGAGTTCTCTCTAGTAGCCTAGATACGACGTAAAAAAGTTACTGTCACCTCATAAGACATTTTTTGGATACATTTCTTTATGCCGGATTTGTTTTCGTGACAGTAACTTTTTTATACCATGACTAGGGTTCTCTTTTAACTCCTTTCGTTTTTGCTTTTTATCGCTTTTTCATAGTTATAGTCTTCTTGCTCTCTTGTTGTTTATGTTGGTGCGCATACCCAGTCCTCGCTGTCGACTTAATTAGCGAAACTTTCTAGATATTTGAAGCCAATAGATTTGAGCCTTTGGAATGCCCTACTCACTGGTTGTCCTTTGTTTTTACAGCGCCAGTCAGTGATAGCGCAGCGTTCTTCTGTTTTTTGGGAGAAATCACTGTCAGGCTTCCAAGGAGACCAGTTGGATTAATGTTTAACCCTTTATAGTTCTGCTGTATGGATTGAGTTGGAACCATTCTTAATTGAAGATAACTCGAACCTTAGTGTAACGTATGGTTTATAATTCATTTTTTTCTGACGACTCAGGGATCACCTGTACGGACGGCTCTGGAGGAGACCAACTGTCGGACTTCAAATGAGACCGGAAGGTTGATGTTTAACCCTCTATAGTTCTGCCGTATGGGTTGAGTTGGAACCATTCTTAATTGAAGATAACTCGACCCTTAGTAGAACGTATGATTTATAATTCATTACCTTACGATACTCGGGAGTTTGAGAACCCTTAGTAGAAGGTTACTCGATACTATACTTAGGGGTTTGTATGGATGGGGCTTCTTTAGAGTAGAGGTTCGGTTCCTCCCAGGTGGTTCTTCTCGCTTTTCTTTTCATCAGAAGTTCCCGTATGGCTAGTCTCTTCTGAGGCGAAGGTTCAACTCCTTCCGGGTTCAATTTATTTACTGGCTATGTCAAATCAGTATGTTTGAAATTATAAATTTTTCGGTTTTGTTATCTCCACGGCTACCAGGAGTTCCAGAAAGCTCACGGAATTTTGTATTTTCAAAACCGTCACGGTTAGTTTGAATTTTATATCGATGAAATCAATTGAGAATCAGTCTGATCGTGGAGGTGATTTGAATTTGCGTTACTTCCGATGAGGTATAAACAAATTCTAACATGTTAAGCTCGTCATTTGAACTATTCGCGTTGACTATTACGAAATTATCAATTTTACTCGATTTTCTATCTACTTGAAGCAACTGAAATATTTTTAACGAAAAACAATTTATACACTCAATGCTCAACAAATAGAAGAAAACTAAATTTAAAGTAAATGATTGCAAACATTGATACTAATATTAATGATAATAAATACTCTTTTGATTAATAAAAATATTTGTATGAATATCGATGACTCATCACCAGCTTTATTATTTATTTATTCCTTTAAAAGCAAGGATCAAACGTAAAGGAATAAGTATTACGCAATGTTTTTCGCAGAAATTTTATATACTAGTCCAAATGTGAAATGCAATTTCGTTCTGATTTTTGCTGAATTTGGCAGCAGTTAAATACTGACGAACTTCGTCCGAATTGTTGTGCAAATTAACGTGAATTATGATTAATGCATATCCGGGAAAATATTAAGTATGTGGTTTAGGGTTAGGGTTGATACAGTAAATGAAAAAGTCGAAAAATATGTCGGTGATATAATCTTGACTCCCGGATTTGTTTTGATGATAATGAATTTCGCATTCGTTACATCTAATATTTCAATAATAAAATAAATATTAATTAATATACTGTAATCGAATGGTTGACAACACAAAAATTATTTATAATGTTTCACATACAGCAAGCAAAACCTTGATTTAACAATATCGCGATAAGACGATTTAACGACACCATATGGTTTGGACAAAATCTACCTAGACTTTTCGATACACAAATGGGAACTACGCTATGATTGATATTACTCCAGTCGGTAAACACTAGGTAACACTAACTAGTTTTAATTTTGTTATTATTCAAGCTAATACATTTTCGAATAAAAGGGCATAAAAAATAAAAGGTGACTGTATATAAGATCACGCTCATCTAACTTAAGGGGTTGGGCCACAAAATAACCCTTATATTTCAAATAGAGTTTATAATAATAGTTAAAATTTTTTCATCGAGGAAATATTTTTCTTGTTTGTTATATGTAGGAATTAAATCTAAACGCAATGTTATTGATGATCGCAACAAATTGAGGCATTAATAGCTTGTGGGGGTAGGTATATATATTAGGGATGTTAGCATTAGGTAGGTGAAAAACCGTTTAATTAAAAGGTGTGTTAAAATATACCAATCAATATCAACATACCGTATCTCCTCTGAAGTTTGATGATGACGCATGGCACAACGTGAAATTATCTGTCGTTCTATCAACCAAAAATTTGAGTTTACATCAATACATTTATTAATAGATATTTGTATTGGATTATCAACCGTTCAAACACTAATCTGGATAAATAAAATCCAAATTGTCATTGGAATTGCGTCGCACAGCAAATAAAACAAAACAGAAGGTGCCTCCTTTACAATATTTACTTCACGTCATGTTGAATATTAATTTGCTAGAATCTCATTTGTCATTCTTGTGTAAATTATCAGATTTCAGAGATACGTTTTTTGAATGATATTATCTATATTGTATAAACTCAAACGGCTTTTGCAGTAAATAAAGAAATTTGGAACATTAGCCAAGTTTGAATCACGAGTATAGAAATTCATTTCATACATGCTCTTTTTTCGATTACAAGAAAAGAAAGGAATAATCAATTTGAAAAATTCATTTAAAACCCGAGAATCCCGATCTGTGTCTGTGTAATGTAAACATGATGCCCGTATGGGCGTCTCGGCGTTCTTGTGTATACCCATTATACATGTATGTATATAATTGATCATAAATTCGATTGCGTGCATGTGTTACATTTGAATATCTAATTTTTTATATATAGTCATGCCTTTCGAAAAATAAATATTAATAGAAGCGTGTTTTTTTTCCTCGCTGCTACCAACACCTCGATAGTCTTTATAGACTCCCTTACTTTCCTTCACTTTCCCGCTATTGCCAGTATTCGTTCCACCCCATCCTTATCATTATTCTTGTCTCGTGGCTGGTCCAAGAAAACCGACTTTTAATATCGGATATCTAAAGGCGATTCCTAAAACACTAGATTCCTCATCTCGTTTTCACCGCGTATAACCATATATACATATAGAACATCATACAACAACTTGTATAAAAATGAAATTGCATAAAATTACCTTTACTGTCTTGAGTTTAATTGGTTTAGTCTCTGCCGCAGTGACTACTTCCTCCTCGCCTTCCTCTTCTTCCTCTTCTTCCTCTTCTCCTTCCTCTTCATCCTCAGTAAAACCACCTGGCAGTGGACAAGCAGCGTTAACTGGATATCCGACAATGGATCAAACACCACCAACTAATCAGGCATGGTTTCGAAAAGTAGATTTATCCCAGGTTCCAAATATTCCGCCAAGGAAATCCTTTACAGACTGTCCTCCAAAAGGATCATCTGATCCAACTTGCGCCTGGAGTTGTTCTCAATGTTTAGCCAGCGATGATATCACCTTTTGCCCGAATAAAGGAGACTGGGGTCTTACTTTTGACGATGGTCCTGCTTCATCACAAACCGGTAAACTATTAACTACTTTAGATGGCGCGAATCAAAAGGCAACATTCTTTATTGTTGGCTCACGTGTTGTCGAGTTTCCAGATACTTTAACTAAAACATTTAAAGCTGGACATCAGATCGGTGTGCACACGTGGTCACATCCCCCTTTGACTACTTTAACCAATGAGCAGATTGTCGCGGAAATCTTATGGACTGAAAAAATTATCAATGATACAATTGGCGTAGTACCTAAATACATGCGTCCACCTATGGGTGATATTGATAACCGTGTACGTGCAATCATGAAAGCTCTCGGTTATAAAATTGTAATTTGGAATCTGGACACTGGAGATTTTGAAGCTGCTCCCGGAAACCATTTCAATCCTAGTTGGATTACCAATAATGTAACTCAATGGGTTAAAACGCCTCCAAATAGCGTTGACCATGGTTTCTGCTCACTCGAACATGATATTCATACTATTTCCGTGGATGCTGTTCCCTCTGTTTTACCACTGATCAAAAATGCCGGCTATAAACCACAACCAATTGCCACTTGTCTCGGTGACAACAATCCTTACCAATCATTACTTAGTGGCAGCAGTGGTAATAATAATAATACTTCATCGTCTTCGGGTAAATCCGGGAATTCATCTGTTGCTGGATCGGGACTTAATTCATCATCCAATGATCCTTCTGTTAACATTAAATCGACTTCTGATGGTAACTCACTAGGGGTTTCTGCTTATTTGAGTTTTGTAGCCCTCATAGTTTGCATATTATCACTATAAAAAACTATTTAATGTATAGTAGTATATTAGATTTGTATTTTGAGATTTGATTGTCTTAGTAAACAATAATAGAATAATAGAAAAGTTTTTCTGTTTGCCAAATAAATCATTTAATTTGTACAACATATTATGAATAATGACACTTGGACTATTGTTTGTTATTAATTAATTAATTTATTGAAATTCTTCATTTTTATTCTGACAATATGTATCGTAATAATCAAAATATCTTCGTAAACTTTGCACGTAAAAATAAGTGCAATGCCAAGTTTAGCATACAAAACGCCATTAATAAATATATCCCAGGTTCTATTCTACAGGTCTATAAAATTTTATGATATTTGACAAGTTCATGAGATACAAAAACATAAATTTGATATGCATTATTTTTACGTGCAAAATTCGCGAACGAATATTTTATACTATACCAAATTACCGAACCGTTACCGGTAAAATCTCGGTTCCGTAAATTATTGTAATTTACGTTCCGAACCTAGACGAATTAGAATATACTCTATTAGTTTTATATGGTTTACCGTCAAATCGATTACCATTAAAAAAAGAATCCGGTCACTTTAGGACGCAATATAGTAGGTCACATAAGAAACGCAACACTAAAGTTTTACGAAAAAAAATTCTAGTGCCTAAAAAAATATTAATTTTGCCATTCTAAAGAAATTAAGTGATCTACATGAATATTTTTAATTAGTGAAATTTTAACTTCTTGATGAAACCAAATTTGTTTAGTTATTAGATCCCGAAGCATCAAATTAATGCTCGTGAAATACTAGTAAAAGAACTAGTATCATTAATTTATTTAAATAGATTATTTTAGTGAAACTTGTAATTAAAAATAAAGATTACAATATTATTTATAATTTATTTTGTATAATATTATTTAAATATTATTAAAAGCTTACAAAACTAAATATTTTTATATGAATAACATTATATTTTCATAAACAACAATATTTATTATAAATTATCTTCAATAAATTTATAACTAAAAAAAATAATAATATCACTTACAGTGGCAACCAAAAGTAATGACTCAGGGGCTAAATTTATTAATAAAATATAGTGAAAATTGAAATTTTCTC